CGCACAATCGTTAAAGGTCATGGTGACCAATCCATCAGAGAAAAAGTAAAGGCCCTAACGAAGATAACGATACATTTTCACCTTTTTTGAAGGGAGGAGGATTTTTTACTTTTTGTGCGACGTTTCGGCGAGCCGGATAGAACCACCTCGCCGGTTCTGTGATACATAATAAGCAGGTTTTCATATTATCGCCTGAGCTGGGGGGAGCAGCACTATAGACAAAAGGCACTGAACCAAGGACATTTTTTTTTTACTGAAATGATGATGAATAAGAGATTGTGCCATTACAAAAAAATAAGAGCAATTATATATTCATTACAACACATTAGTTAGGCCAGGTTCACATCTAACTTCACCTTCAATCTTTTGGTCTGTGGACAGCTGGGGAACAAAACAAACATGCGCGTAGCCGGGGTGGTGGGGTTGAGTTCAACCCTTCCCCCCTGAAATTAAATCGGACGGAATTTAGTGACTGATTTTTCGCTTTAATATTGTTTATTTTAGGTGAGATTTTAATACTAAACCATCACTTGCCCAAGCACAACCAATGGGTTTTCAGTTTAAAACTTCCTAACAGAGGTATAGAGTTTAAAACCCCCTACCAGGAAGTTTAGAGTTTAAAACCACCTATCAGGGGGTTCGCAGTTTAATCCCCCTCTTCTATTAAAAAAAATGAAAACAAGAGCACAGCAAAGAAAGATTTTGAATGTAAAACCCGTTCCGAAACGTTTTTTTACGATAAAACCCCATCTTCACTATAAGACTCAAGCATACATTTGTCACCAGATTCTATGAGCATAGCCAATAGGTGTTTTGTGTTTCAAAAAAGCTAAAAACCACCTCTTCAATATGAAAAAAAAAATACACACTCAAAATTCTATAAGCGTACCCAAGAGGGGTTTTGAGTTTTAACCCCCTCCTCCAGAGGGTTTTTAATTTAAAACCCCTCTAGGTGGTTTTAAGTTTTAAACCCCTTCCAGAGCGATTCGAAGCTAAAGACCACATTATCGAAATAAAAAAAATTACACACTTACGATAAAACCCTCTCTTCAATATAAAAAAAAAATGCAAATTACACACTAAAAATTCTATGAGTGTAGCCAAATGGGGTTTTGAGTTTAAGCCCCCTCTTCTGGTGTTTTTTTTTAAAGTTTAAAACCCTCCAGACTGTTTTCAATTAAAATAACCCTACTAAGAGTTTTGAGGCTGAAAACCTCTCTCTTAAATATTATTCTAAATCAAACTAGAGTCACCAAATTCTATATGCGGAGCTAAATGGGTTTTGAATTTTTTTTTTAAATCTTCAGAGATTTTTTAGTTTAAAATCCCCCAACACATGATTTCGACCATAAAAATTCCATTTTCGATATAAAATCTAAAACTAAGTACAGTCATCTAATTCTACGAAATGTTACACATTTCTACTAGTGGCTGGGCTCCATTAATGTACAGTGAATATTCATCTGCCGAAAATAAAAAAATACTAAATGTGGCTCAACAAAGATGACTAAGACGGATTTTAGGAGTCAGTTATAGCGATCGGGTCTCAGAATATGCAATTTGTTGGCTTTCAATACCGGAAATAGTGCTTGGCTTGATTTTTAGCTGCCCCTGAAAGGGGAAAAGACGCTATTAGTTTTGTGTGGTCTGTCTGTCCGTCCCGTTTAGATTTCGTAAACTAGAAAAGATATAGAAAATTTGACATCATTATATTTCAGACCATTGAAAATTCGATGCAACGGTTATTTTTTTCTTTTCTGAAAGTGAAAAATCTAACTTTTAAAATCAATTATGCGAGTAGTTTTTTCTAAAAAATGCATGCTTTGTTAAAACTATTCATTATTACGAGGAGTAAAACAAAATTAAGTATGGGAGATGACCATGTGTTATTATTCTAACACATTTACGCAAAGGGTTTTAGATTTGTTGTTATTGTATTCCTAAGCCAGGTAAGTTATGTCATACTAGCTATTAAATTAAACAAAAAATGATTACTTTTTTTAAAGAGAAAAATGTATTTAGTATGCAATATATACATAATTACACAAACTCTCTTTGTAATCTTGTTAAAATCTATCTTTGTAACTTATTCCTACTAATAGTTACCATACGTTTTGATTATTTATTATTTATATATTGATCAGAAATTGAGGAAACACTTATATCACGTGAAACCTATCGGATATGTGTAATTCTTTTACAGACATCCGTTGCATGTAGATAAGATAACTGATTGGTATATCGTAGTGAACTCGTACAACCATAACTGCTATCGACCTTTTTATATTTTATGATCTATTAGAAAAACCATAGTCGTTTAACAGTGGATGAGAGCTAACAAAATACTTGATCTCCAACGAAACATATTGTTCGTCACTTTTATTGTTACAAATATTTGTTTTTTCTACGACTTTACTTGATATAATTTTTTTTATTGCGCCAGAATCTCTGTAGTAAATATCTACCTTTTTAAAAACAAAACTATTGTGGGTATAGATTTTGCTGTAGATAACTTGTGAAGCGCTTGGTACACAAACACGCCACTATACACAGTCTCTTGTTAGTTCCTCATGGAACATAGGGCCTCAGTAAAAACACGCCACTCTCCGCGGTCTCTTGCTAGTTCCTCATGGAACATAGGGCCTCAGTAAAAACACGCCACTATACACAGTCTCTTGCTAGTTCCTCATGGAACATAGGGCCTCAGTAAAAACACGCCACTCTCCGCGGTCTCTTGCTAGTTCCTCATGGAACATATGGCCTCAGTAAAAACACGCCACTATACACAGTCTCTTGCTAGTTCCTCATGGAACATAGGGCCTCAGTAAAAACACGCCACTATACACAGTCTCTTGCTAGTTCCTCATGGAACATAGGGCCTCAGTAAAAACACGCCACTCTCCGCGGTCTCTTGCTAGTTCCTCATGGAACATAGGGCCTCAGTAAAAACACGCCACTTTATGCGGTCTCTTGCTAGTACCTCCTGGAACATAGGGCCTCAGTAAAAACACGCCACTCTCCGCGGTCTCTTGCTAGTACCTCCTGGAACATAGGGCCTCAGTAAAAACACGCCACTTTATGCGGTCTCTTGCTAGTACCTCCTGGAACATAGGGCCTCAGTAAAAACACGCCACTTTATGCGGTCTCTTGCTAGTACCTCCTGGAACATAGGGCCTCAGTAAAAACACGCCACTTTATGCGGTCTCTTGCTAGTACCTCCTGGAACATAGGGCCTCAGTAAAAACACGCCACTTTATGCGGTCTCTTGCTAGTACCTCCTGGAACATAGGGCCTCAGTAAAAACACGCCACTTTATGCGGTCTCTTGCTAGTACCTCCTGGAACATAGGGCCTCAGTAAAAACACGCCACTCTCCGCGGTCTCTTGCTAGTTTTTTTAATGAATTAGGATGGACGGATGTAAAGCCTACAATACACAGGGCGGGAGGGAGTGTTGAAGAATAACTAGATGACAAAGGACTGTGCCTGTTAAATCCTGCCAAGCTAATTAAGATTATACAAATTGAAGACACGTATGTTCACTGCTGCTATTCTTCCAACCGACCACTGCTTAGGGTACAACGTTTAAATTTGGCTTTTGTTTGGATGAGATAAAGAGATGAGACTATTTACCATTTCTCGTTTTCCAAAAATATCGTTCTTTTGTTTCTTAATTATTAAAGCATCAGGTTCTACATTTTTCAACTTGTGTTATCTATGTGGAGCTCATCTAACAGCCTGCTTGTTTCTCCTCAAGATATTGAATACCTGCTTCTGTATGAACAAATTTTAGAGTTATACTTTTTTAAAAATAAAAATCAAACACTTTTTTACGGTATTACATTTTTTTAATTCATATTATTAAATTACTAAAAGCATTTACAGCGTTGTTTGATGAAATGTTATATTATCAATCAATAAAATTCAATCCTTAATACATTCTGGTATTAACACACAATCGTTTATAAATGAAGCAGTGTCACGCATATAGAACCCTTGATAATTCGGTATTGAAATGAATTTGGTTCATTTTTAGCGGCCCCCGAAAGGGGAAAAGACGCTATTAGTTTTGTGTGGCCTGTGTGTTTGTCTGTCCGTCCGTCCGTCCTTTCCGTTTATATCTCAGAAACTAGAAGAGAAAATAAAAAACAGTCATCATGATATCATTCAGTGTTTTGATGCAACGGCTACTTTTTTTCTTTTCTGAAAGTGAACCATCTAATTTTTAAAATTATATATGCAAGCAGATTTTTCAAAATAATACATCACTTTTCAATGAAAAACTTCGGGGGAAATAAGACTTATTAAAAAGTTTACAAGCTTCTTTAATAAATCAATCTTTATTCATAGATTTGAGTATTGGTAAAAAAAAATCAACTAAGGTCACGATTGAAAAAGTATCAATGGATCATTTTAAAAAAGATGTTACATTTATTTACTACCTCATGGAATAGAATACTGATTCGAACGTTGTTTTTAAAAATAATTTTTATATAAACTTCGTTTCAATTGTAAGTTTTAAAACAACAACTTAGAAAGTACTTTTTATCGCCCAGTTTTCACACTTCCTCCTTAGGCTATACACTTGACAACAATCTGATTCTAAATCACAATAAATAGAGACCAGATCTACATAGATCTACATACGAGTTCTAGTCTAGATATAGTAGATTCTATAACAAGATTCTATATCTAGACTTAGATATATATATCTAGATCTAGACTTTTTAGAGACTTAGATCTATTTCTAGATCCAGACCAATATAGCCTTAGAGACTTAGAATGACAGATCTATTTCTAGATCTAGGCTTAGACTTGAAACTAGATTTAGATCTTAAACTAGGTTTAGATTTAGCTAGATCTAGCCAGATCTAGTATAGATAAAGCTAGATCTAGTCTTTGTATGTCAAATGACAATGGAGATATTATTAAGTAACATACCTTTGGTATCAAATTGAAAGTGTAAGGAATGAATTCATATGTATTGTTCGTTTCAATATGTGTTTCCCTAGTGTAGTAGTTATTACATCTGCCTAACTCGTAGAAGGTTCTGGGTTCGAAACCCAGCTAAAACAGTGATTTACGTTTTTTTAAAAAATACAGTAGCCTACATATTTCAACGATTTGTAGTGAGTCATATCCAGTAAAAAGAGATATGCAATTTTTTAAAATATATTTTTTTAAAGCTTAATATGTTCTATCCTCTACTAATGTCTAGATCTGTCCATCTTCCTCTAGTTGGACCACATCGGGGGTGAATTTTAGTTTGTGTGTCCACACAAACTGTCTTTGTAACCTTCTATTAAATAGTTAATGTAACTTAAAACCATTTTCAAGTGGTATTAAAATGTTCAAGTTAAACCTGTTCCTTCAAACTCTTAAAGGACTGTAAATTTTCATTTTGCAATACGTCTATTCAAATCATGGAACCTGGAAACTCCAAATTGGGCTGTGGAGCATTTACGGTGATCTCAAAAACGGCTCTAAAGATTTTTTTTAGTATAAAATGTTTACTGTTTTTAATCTATTATTTATTAGTTACAGAAAAACAATCACTCTATTAGTTGTATAAATAATGTATTTTCCTTTTTAGCGGTCCCCAAATTAGGAAAAAAACGCTTTTACGCTTTCGCAATATTCGCCTGTCCGTCTGTCCATCAGTCATTCTTGTCTGTCACACATAGATCTTAAAAACTAGAAGAGAAATGAAAATTCTTAGTTCCCCACTCGTTGTGGCTTACAAAGTTTAGGTACAACGGCTTTTTTTTTGTTTTTAAAATTAATTATGCAATTACTTTTTTTACATAAAAATACACCACTTCTAAAACAATACATAAATGTAAAGGGATATTATGTTAACGATATGTTAACAAGGAAAGGTAATGTTTGGTGTATTTTCTGTATCACTTATCCATATATATCTGTAAAATGTATTTAATACGTTCACAACAAAAATAAATATTAATACCTGAGTTTTATGCTGGTACAATAGCTACTCAAATTAAATGGAAACTTTAGTTTTTCTTTATAAAGGCTAACAATGCACTTTTATGTTTTAAATCTATTTTTTTACAGCGACTTTCATGCAGAAGCTTTACAACCGAGTCTGGACACGAAATAGATTGCGATTATTTCAAACTCAAGTGGTCCTCTGCTCAGCGTACATCGTACAGAGATAAAAGAGAAGTAAATGTGTCATTAATTAACTAGGTAAGAGTCGGTCTTCTCACAAAGTGCTAGCCTAAGTGAATGTTGCTTTGTATGAGAAATAGGACACTTAGTATTCCGTTTTTTTTTTGCTGCTTAATATGTTTTTATCAATTAAATATTTTTCTTATTTTAATTCACTCTGTCTGTCTGGCAGCTAAAAAGTTGGTCCCACAGAACACCTGGGATTAAGCAGAAATTTTGCAGTTTTTTCTTTTACCTGTCAAAACAAGAGTCAATTTAAAAAAAACACAATTAGTTAATTAAATATTGGTAATTAATTATTAACTTTGGAATCAAACAAGGGAATGACATATGGTGGTATAAGTTGAATTAGTCCCCTTTAAACTTTGTGAAGAGTAGGTGCAGTAGCTGAGATGTAAAGCCTTTGGCTTTCAAAGCGGGAGTTCCGAGTTCGAATCCATGTCAAGACTGGGATTTTTAATTTCCAGATCTTTGAACACCTCTGAGTGGATCCAGCTCTAATTTGGGAAAAGCCACGTGACACCCTTGTTAACTGTGGGCCTCAGAAACAGATGACTTTTACATCATCTGCCCTAAAGGCCATAAAGTCTAAAAGGAGAGCTTTTTTTTAAAAAAATGTAGATAATTAAAATTTTGAAACTAACCATAAATTACTACATACCCTTCTATTTTCGTAAGCAATTAGTTGGCATAGTGGTTAGTGTCATGTCTTGATGAAGTCTAAGCCAAAATGAACATTTTTAAAAATATAAAATGCTTTGAAAATGCATTAGGTCAACGTTCAGACATATATCACTTCTTTCTCCTCCCCTTTCCTTTTCCCAATTGGTCCAGACAAGTGCTATTGTCCTAGCATATTGACTCAGCTAAATAACATACAATTACTTAACAAAAACAAAAGGTCAAAATATTTCTAAATGGACAGATTTATCGTTTCTAGTCTAGATCTATTACAGATTGAATGAAATGACTGATCCAAACTAATTGATGTAATTACACTTAATAAAAGCTTTGTTTTAAAAAAAAATCTTCTGTTATGTATGTCATTGTTTGCAAGTATGTTCTTATTATCCTGTGTTAGTTTTTGTCTTCCTTTCAGTCCTCTTGTGTTAGACTTTGTCCTTCTTTGAGTCCTCTTGAGTTACGCTTTGTCCTTCTCTCAGTCCTCTCGCGTTACCCTTTGTCCTTCTCTCAGTCATCTAGTGTTATTTTTTGGTCTTCTGTCAGTCCTCTTGAGTTACCCTTTGTCCTTCTCTCAGTCTTCTCGTGTTACCCTTTGTCCTTCTCTCAGTCCTTTCTTGTTACCCTTTGTCCTTCTCTCAGTCCTTTCTTGTTACGCTTTGTCCTTCTCTCAGTCCTTTCGTGTTACCCTTTGTCCTTCTCTCAGTCCTTTCTTGTTACGCTTTGTCCTTCTCTCAGTCCTTTCGTGTTACCCTTTGTCCTTCTCTCAGTTTTCTCGTGTTACCCTTTGTCCTTCTCGCAGTCCTTTCTTGTTACGCTTTGTCCTTCTCTCAGTCCTTTCGTGTTACCCTTTGTCCTTCTCTCAGTTTTCTCGTGTTACCCTTTGTCCTTCTCGCAGTCCTTTCTTGTTACGCTTTGTCCTTCTCTCAGTCCTTTCTTGTTACCCTTTGTCCTTCTCTCGGTCCTTTCGTGTTACCATTTGTCTTTCTTTCTGTCCTCTTGTTTTAAATTCTGCCTCCTTTTTGTCTTGTTGTGTTATACTTTGTCCTCTATAATGTCATCTTGTGTTAGTTTTTGTTCTCTTTTCTGTCATTCTTTTGTTGTTGCTTTATTCCCCTTTCTGTTGTTTCTGTATGAACAAATCTTTTAATCCTATCTTTTAATTAACTAAAACTCAGACTTAGCGAAATATATATATATTCTAGTCAACTAACACTGAGGCAAACGTTGGCTTCACCTTCAAGCTTAAGTTTTGTTTTTCGATTGAAAAACAAAATGCATCGCCTTCTACTGATGTGTTGTATATCTACAGTACTAACTATTTCTGGTAAGCATTGTTGTTAATCATACTGTACAGTTAACATCTTTTTTCTTCTTCTTTGTTCTCATTTTACACGTCCGAGGGCTCACATCAGTAATCCTATGTCTGAGATTAATCACTCATTGGTTTACAGATCAGTCAGTTCTACTTATAGTTTTTCTTCCATATGAGGGTTTTGGGCCCAGAGTCTGGTTTGGGCCTCCTGATAAAGTATGTAGTATGGTCAGTATTCTCTAGTGATGCTCCACAAGTGCATGTTTTGCTCGTGTCGACATTGAACATATTCAACCCTAAGAATACCAAAAGAGGTCCCCAAGGATCCCCAGAAGTTGATTTAGCTTGATTCGATTCTAAATGTAACAGTCCATTCCCTCTTTATTTTATGTTTCTCTTGCGCTATAAAAGTAAAATAAAGAGGGAAAAAAAAACAAAGCGTTATTTTAAAGTTATTAAAAGTTGCTTAACCCTGCTTGGTATGCTATGGTCTAAAATTTTATTTATATTATTTTTTTTTATTCATGATCTAAACTCTGATGTCTTTAAAAAAGTATTGATTTCTTCTGATAGTACTGACATTATTCGATGTCGAGGATGACTGACAGTAATACAATAAGTTTGTAATATTTAACCTTTTCCTTTTTAACAAACCAAACTACAAACAAGCAATCACTGAACATACTTATTAAATAATACTCCAACAAAGCAATTCAAACCACTGGAGCCATAGTTAAATATTTCAGAAATAATTGAAAGCCATCCAAAAACAACTATCCCTATATATACAACGATTGACCAGCCTTCAAAGCCATTCTGAATGCAAGTCTTCGTGCCTTCCTTATCTTGACCCCCTTTCTCCCTCTCCCTAATAAAATGTCAAATAAGTGGGGACTTAGTGGTGAATATTGCTCAAACCTCCAGGTAGAAATAAAGGCAATCACCAGAGCATTGCAGACAGTTCAAAACAATCTTTATGTAGGAATAGAAACACCATTAGATATATTTGTCTTTACAGACTCACAATGAAATCTGCAATCAGCAGCGCCTCATCCAGCGCAATAGATTTGACAACATTTTCTAACATAAAATGTTAAAATTCAAAATCCTATTAGAATGGATTCCTGGGCACTTAGGCGTTACGGGAAATGTACTGGGTGATTAACTTTTAAAGAGTCATCTATGAAACAACCAGATAAACCATTTAACTATCTCAACCTAAGGTGATTGGTAGTCAACAATCACAAAGAGGAATCGCTCAACGAATGGGTATCAGCTCTTTCTATCCTTAATTATTTTTCCACTTTTCGAGAGAATTTTTCATTACTATTTCATTAGTCTGTTATAATTTGGCTTCAATAGCTTTGTTGTTTCTTATCAGAAAATGTTTTCTTTGGTATAGAACTAAAGGGGAATGCATTTTCTTTTTACAGAGTTTATAAGATTAAACATTAATTTAATTTAATTTAATGAGGTCAAATCAAATATGGTATCGTCAATTAAGAGAAAAAGAATCAAGAAGCACAGGCAGAAATATGTACAAAGAAGTGACCATGTCAAATAAACTGGACAGTATCAACTCAAGAAAACATTAAGAAACTGGAACAAACACAAAATAGAGCAGTGAGATTCATAACAAACGAATATTCACATTTGACTAGGGTAACACCATTAGTAAAATCACTAAAATTAGAAAGCCTTCAGGACAGAAGACTCAAAAGTAAAGTAGCAATTATACATAAAACACTGAACCATAATCTTCAAATACAAAAACAAAATTTAATAAAATATTCTGAAAGACACAAAAATAAAGGCACATTCCTCGTCCCATATGCTAGGACAAATTTGTACAAATACTCCTTCTTCCCTAGTGCTATTAGAGCATGG